GTCATTTGTTTTAAAGTTACATCAAAAATCAAAATCGATTTTGTCGAAAACTGAATGTGCGTACAATTTCCCGTTTTTCCCTTAATTTTTAGTTTGTTTATCCCGATTATTTAAAAAAAAATTGATAATTTTTTACTTTTGACCCACCAAAGTATCAACTATATTCACTTTATGATTTAACAAGGTACTGAAGTCGAAAATCGTAGCACTTTTACTGACCCAAAACGTGATGAAAGAAAAAAAAATACACATCAATACATCATGGTAAAATCAATACATATCCGCTCAGAATTTAAAAATATGGATGATAATATTATGGCCTTTCTGGTYCAACAGGTAAAGATAATATGTATGTGTGSCTCTCCTGGTCCAAYAAAATKATTGTAAGTAACMAGATATAACAATAATAATGCAACAACTCACAGATATGAGGGTGCTCGGCTGGCTATAGCTGCTACCTATCCTATATTGATAACAGTGGCGCCGAAGTCAGTTTTTAGAGGTATTGCAAAGCATACCTGCAAAGCAAGACCCACCCACCTACATTAGGTTGAGCGACTACAGACACACACAAAAAAAAAAATATTCATGGTTTTGACGAGTTTTTGTCAATATCTGAACTTAAAATGCTAATAAAAAAAATTGTGCGTATGTATTCTTATAATTTTTTAAACACTATAAGAATAACTTATGAGAAACTTTGTATTAAATTTTCAAGTATTTTGATAGGGCCAAAAAAATGTTATTGACACTTCAAATAAAAATTTTCAGAAAAATTGAAAACTTCAGTTGTCTTCAGTTGTCTAATACCTCATAAAACGTCAGAATATTTTGACAATTAAATCATGTAAAGAAAATGCCAATCTAAATAACTGGTAATATTTTCATGACTTATACTTTTTGAATTATAACAAATATTTAAAATCGTTTGACGTTAAATCGTTATYGTTACGCTATTTCGTAAAAATTTGAAATTCAAACGCACTTAAAATTTTTCCTATAATGATGCTTCAAATTTTCTCTATAGTTACTTGAAGGAAAACTTATGGAAAACTTAGTGTTGTATTTTTAATCGTTAGTTAAAAACACAAACAATTTTACGATTTATCAACTTCAAAATTACTAGCTACAATAAGAACAACTCATAAAGAAACTTGTATTAAATTTTCAAGTTTATTTGTTCGTCCAACATTTTTTTAACTTCAAAAAAAAATTCTCAACAAAATTGAAAATTTCAGTGGTCTATAAATAACTCAAAAAAGTCAAAAATTTGTGAAAATTAAACTGTAAATATATAACACTAACATAAACATTTGGTGAAAATTTCAAGTATTTACAGTGATTAGTTTTTGAATTACAACCATATAAAAAAATTGATTTGGTCG